TGTATCTATAAATATTTCTAGACGGCACTTAGGGACGCGAATTACGTTTGCAGAGTAAATACAAATGCCGAGAAATCTCTGAGGTTGTATTATGTATGAAACAAAATGGCGTTCGTTTTTGCAAAACTTCGTACTTCTTGTCATGTAGGTAATAGTACCGAACAATGTTACCTACTATAAACTAGGTCATTCTTGTAGTATTCTAGGTATATTGTTGTGTAAGTTGCACGTCACAAAGAAGTAAATTTAACGAAACATGTTAAGGTCTGTAGTTTAAATAAAAGATATATTTAAGTAAACTGTACATTTATAATAGGTACACAAATTATATAATAAGCTAGCGTCGATAATGAAGGTGCTGTGCGGAGTCCCGATGCCGGACACGGCAGGACTCCTTGCCCGCGCGGCCCTCTGGCGGCCGTAGGTGATGTCGGCGGTCGATATGTGCATCGACAAAATCAGATCTCAATTTGTACCTTTTCAGTAATAATTTGAACGCCATTGTTCATTTTCTTAGGTCGACCATGAATGTAAAACATAATGTGTTTTTCTACGAAGCAGGCCTATTTTATCCGAGGAAAATCATCAAATGCCTTCTCCCGCCCAGGATAAGGCGAGAGGGAGTGTCAGACTCATACTGACTAAAAACCCTCCGTTCCTTTTCCTGCTCTGGGCCGAGGCCGCGGTGAGCGGGCCTGCGCTTTTGGTGGTCGAGGATCGTCTCCCTAGCCAATCCTCAAAAAGGGCTCGTATGAACTGCTACTATAACATTATGCTCGAAAACAGGTACAAAAATATAGGAATCAAAATATTCATAAAAAATTAATACTGCATTTAAAATTAATAACGAAGAATAATGTGATGTCGTTAGAGGATATCGACATCACATTTTTAAGAGACACTTATTGTTCAACATTCAACAAAACACGTTTCATATAAGTTTGTTATAAAAACAATTAGATTTCTGTGCAGCGCCGACTCATCTATCATTTAGTGTCTTTCCATTCCGAGTATTAAAAAAAAACACGTAGGAAACGCTCCTGGGGAAAGTAATTAAAGAACCATTTCCGCACTTCCTTTGTTACTTAGAGCTTATACTTTTTATCAAGTCCGAGCGAAAATAAATCATATTACTTTGTTAACTAGACTAAAAATCTAAATGTAGTTGATGAATCCATTTATGTAGATATAAATAAATAATAGCTAATAATGGATTACAAAATAGGTAATCGCGTACATAACAAACAAAGCCTTTAAATTCGAATACGGCAGATAATGTAGGGTGACGTAAAATATGAATAAAACATGTATTTTGTGTCTCCATTTCGCATGGCAACCCTCCTTCGCCTTTACAAGATTACGGGGAGAGAAAAATATCCGGTAATGTGCACTGTCTCGTGCATCTGCCGGCAGGTAAATCCAATTTGGCATGTCACCTCGCGGTTGGCGTCACAGAGCTGTAGAAAAAGTAACAAAACTGACACGGCGACAGCACGGCCGTCGGCGAAAACGTTAAGCTGCAGTCGCCAGTTCCGGACCGGACGTCCGATAAAAAATTGAAAAAGTCATTCGATTTCATCTTCATATAAAATTCATTCCTGTCACTCGTAGTTTCTTTGGTGACTTTTTGCCCCTGGTTCGCTTCGAGCGCTTACTTTGACTGGAAAACGGCAAACATGGCCTTTTGTAAATTTTTAGATAGAAAACACAAGCCTGCTGAAGACACTCTCAATTTCTACTGTAGGGGTCAGGAATTGGGGTAGGGGAAGAAGGATTGGGTCTACAGTAAGCTCATTCACATGGCAAAAAACGCTGTGGTTGCTGCATAATTGCGAGTTTAATCTACTTAATATATAATGCTAGACTCATTTTTAACATTCTTTAAGTTTATGATACGGAAACAAATATTTTTGTCTAAGTACAATTTTCTTATACGACAAAATAAAAATGTGATCATGCCTATTACTTAATAAACCTATTTCCCTCGTTCCATGATGACGTAATTCATACGGAGAATAACTTACCCACAGATCTATAAATCTGTTATTGACGAAAGTGTGACGCAAGCCTGTTCGCAGACGAGATTGCTTCAAGCGTTGCATATTAAGTAAGTACCAACGTAACCTATTAATCACCTAGCTCGGTTTGTGGAGCGTCAAGTCTACCAACTCACTCCAAAAGGATTTATTAATCTTTACATAGACGGTTTCTCGGCTATATCCCTATGTATGCTTCAATCTTTAAAACTACGCTAAGGATTTTGATGCGGTTTTAAGTGATTTTGTTTTGATTACGGTGTTTTTAGAGTGATTTTAGAGGACAGTTTGTATGTATAATAACATCTATTAAACAGTGGAGACTTTTAGTATCAGCATTGTAGCATTGTGCCAAAGCGGCTAGTAAATCGCTAGTAAATCATAAACCTAATCTTTTTAAACACTTAGTTCTCATAAGACTACTGTGTGGAAATCTAATTAATAGATTTCATGTATTTGATAGTGTTTTTTTGTGAGATCGGACGAAAAACGAGCATATGGATCATCTGATGGTAAACAATCAGCACCGTCTATGGAGGGTGTCCATGATACCCGCAACACCAGACCAGTTACAAGTGCGTTGTTGGCCTTTTGAGGGATAGCGATTTAAGGACTGCCTACGGTAACATCACTTAGACGGCGAAACACAACGCTGTAGTTGGATCACGCTGGTTTTCTGCGAGGCGGGGGTTGTCTCTCCGGTCGTGCCTGCCCTTTTGTGCCGAAGCTTGGCTCTTTCACACTTATAAGATAGAAAACCACTTAAAATTGTTCTGAATCTGTATCAACTGGATTATTGTTTTGAGTTTAGATATTTATTATTACCAGACCGATTATTATTTTTTTATGCCGGATTCTTTGAATTTCATATTGATGTGTTAAAGTGATAATGCCCATACTTACTGAGTAAATAATAAAGCATCAAATTAACCGAAGGTAACAGAATATGTAAAACCATACTTCCCGAAAATATACCTACAGTCCTAGTGGAGAGAGAACATTGTTTTCAAAATGTTCATGTGACAGTTTTCACAAGTAAGTAACAACTTTCAATCACATACCTAATAGCGGTGTTATATGGATACTAATGTGTCGTTACCGTCTTAAGGATTCCAAGAATAGCTCATACGATCCCTTGGGTACCGTCGAGGGAATCTCGCAAGTAATGTTGTGTAACGTACCAGACAGTAGACGGTTTTATGTACTTATATAAGGAATCTGAAGACTCGACCCTTACCAAGTTACAATCCTAAAAGTGCCTTCGCCAAAGATTAAGTGAAAGAAAATTACTTTTTATAACGGCTTAAGAACCTTTTTATCGGGAATAAACATTCACAGACCTTTTTAAAGACCTTAAATAGACCGTCTTTCATCTTTCATCTCAATATTAAGCTAACCCATGAAAAGGGTAAAATGATGGGGAAAATTCTATATAATAAATATTCAGGCATTAGGAACGGCGTACCCTGATTTCGGTTACCCTTTCGCGAATTTACTTTTAACAGTGATTCTTTGAAATACAAACTATTCTCTGTAGTTACGTAAAACAATTATCCAATTTTGCAGCACCAGCTTCTCATCGAAATAATTTTAAAATTGCAGCGATTTTCACTATCCGGTGTTCAATGATCTTATTTAATAATACCGGATGTTTTAGTGGAGGCCCAATCCTATCCCCAGTCCCTAAAACCCTAATCCTCGAAAGGTCGGCAATGCACTTTTAACTCCTGTTGTTGCGTCTATAGTTAGCGTAATCAGTTTGCTCGTTAACCGTCCTGTCATATAAAAAATATAAAACAGTCTTACGAAAATGGTAAAGGTCCACCACATGCCTCACAAAATTACAATTTGATACTTTAAAATATTCTTCCGAATAAGTATTTTTTTCGAATAGTGTTTAATCAGATTATCATACTTTGATATTGAGTTTGAGAACAATTCAAGGCAAAGAAATGGAATAAACGTACGATTTGCTTACATTTTTGGCGCACGGCATACTTGGCTGAAAATCACACACAAAAACCATTTTCCAAATTGAAAACGTTATGTGCTCAATCGTGCTTGCTAATTCAGTGGAATAATGCAAAGGTGAAAATATAATAATACGAAATTAAAATGACAATATATAGGTTTATGTCAAGTAATATTTGCCAAACCATTGGCCATGTTTGACAAACTATTGGCTGTACGTTACGACCGCGTAACAGCCATTCACAATCGCCTTTGACGTCATAACTGAGTCAGGTTTTGAGACGACCTCGTGAAGAAGGTAATGAGTATTCCATAATAAAAATTTATTTTAGTACATTATTCATACGTAGGTACATACTTATCATAGCCGCTTTGAACTTACATTCAATCTTAAAAGTAAAAAAATGAGTTTTTATTAAGCATGTGATCGGTAGATACGACATTCCAATATTGACCGATATTCAACAACCAATCAGAAACAGTCACTCAAAAAAAATAATTGGGAAAAATAATTTCTAAAATAGAAAAAGTACTGAAAGAAAATCTGTGCCTCCCTCCCCCTACTACCCTGAAAAATATATCTAGTTGTAGTATATACCTTTGTCTGGGAGAGTTGAAGCCGTCGGAAATTAATCAAAGAGCGAAACAGGAAGTCGGCTGGATCAAAGGGCACTGACGAACAAAGGAAGCGATCGGGCGTGGGCATACATGTCGCAGAGCCTTTGCTACGGATTGTATGCCAAGTGATATTCAATAAGAAATAGAAACTATTGCCAGTATGAATTTTATATAGAGCGCTGAACTGTGTTGATTTTTTTTTTTTCTTATTATCCCTATAACAAATCTTTTGGGTCATCTTATAGCAAACAGTCTTTATAAGATTATATTTACGCGGGTATTAACGCGGAAAATTATAATTTGAATACCTTGGTAGGCTTGACGTTTCGACCCGGTTGCACAGGTCGTGGTCACAAGCAGACTGAAGACGCGATGTCACAGCTCCCTGCATTCGGGTGATGAATCTTCATCTACCCCCTTATTTTCATTTTCTACCATATTAGGCCGTCTACACACTACGCTGATTATATCCACAGATGTGTTAACCGACTTTGAAGGAAAGCGAGGTTGTGTTTTGCGAAGCACTGGATTCCACGTCGACGACAATTTAAAGCCGTCCTCCCGATTGAAATTATTTGGGCATTTCTTTATTTCAACCGCTTCACGCACAAGTCTTGTATGGTAGTGGCGATCAGTGGAGAGAATTTGCGGTCGGTGGAATTCTACCCAGTGATTAGAACCAGCCTGGAGCAGGTGTTCTGCTATCGCTGATTTGTTGCTCTGTCGGTTTTTGACTGCGGCGATATGTTCTTTGAGCCTCTCAGCAATGGTCCGCTTCGTTTGCCCAATGTAGGAACTACCGCAGCTGCAGTTGATCTTATAAACACCTGGGCTTGGGCAGTACATCAGTTAATACCCGCGTAAATATAATGTTGTTAAGATGAAACGCGAAAGTTTAAAAGTTAGTCTTTATAAGGTTTACAACCTATGGACTTATTTTACACATGCAACATCAAAGGCCTTACTCGCAATCTTTTCTGTATGAATCAACATTAACTTGTGATTGAGTAAACTATAGAACAAAATTTAACCCCGGTGTTCGCCACTTTCGATTTTGTGATACCCCATAACCAGCGGGCAATAAAGACGTTTCTAATGATATGTCATTTGTCGAATTCTGATAAGTAGTTTAGAAGTTACGAGGGAACACAAGAAAATACATATATACATAGCCTGTCAAAATCATAATCCTTTTGATTTCGTGTCGTAGTCGGGTAAAAAAGGAGGTTTAAATTCAAGCATAGCAATAGGTCATATAATACCGCTATCCATATTCTAGGAACTTAATTAAGGAAAGTTTTGCAACTTACTCGGCACGATTTTTAAACGAAAAGTTTCTTTTGCATCTGGCTTCGGTCCAGCGCATAATACATTGCGTTAACGCAACAAAAAATGTAACTTAAAACTGCAGTAGATAATAAAAGAAAGATTTTTCGCATTAACTCGAGGAAAGTTTTATCAAATCATATTTAATGGCGGCCACACTAATATTTGAACACTAAATGGTGATGACAATTAAAACAAATATTCTTACTACTTATTATAAAACAGAGTTGTTTTCTCTGTCCCTATGTCCGTATGTATGCTTAAATCTTTAAAACTACGCACCGGATTTTGATGCGGTTTTTTAATAGTTAGAGTGATTGAAGAGGAATGTTTATATTTATAATAACATCAAAAATTTAGAAAATTTAGAATCAACATTGGACCCATTCGAAGCCTGGGCACAGCTAGATAGTTGATATGATAAAAATACAAATGGTATGAATGGTATGAAAATACAAAAGGTATCAATCAAAGGTAATTTCATAATCACAACAATTTAAGCACCTAAGTTATATAATAAAGGTACTTAGTAATAGTTAGCTTTAATTATAACTCCGTACACGTCTGGGTAACAAGGACCGCAATGATATTTTGGGTTACAATCAATAGCCATTAGTTCTTCCCCCGCACACGTTCTAAATACGTCTGGCGTTATATTATTCATACGCTGATGTGTCTGTATTCTCATCTGTTACTCACATGCGCATATCATATTCCAATATATCAGAGTGGCGGCGCATTATCAGTTACTTCACTCGCGGTATTACGCACATGTGTGGGAGAGCCAAGCTTCGGCATTCGGCACGAATGGGTCGGCTCGACCGGAGTGATACCACGGCCTCACAGAATACCGGCGTGAAACAACCACAGTGTTGTGTTTCGCCGTGTGAGTGAGGTTATCTGAGGCCCAATCCGGCCTCTTCCCCTATCCCTTACCGATCCTTATATCCGGAACCCCTATCCCTAAAAGGCCGGCAACACTCGTAACTCTTTTGGTGTTGCGGGTGTCCATGGGCGGCGCCGATTGCTTACCATCAGGTAATCCGTCTGCTCGTTTGCCGATTTATACCATAAAAAACCTGCTTCCACAGAGTTGTCAACTTTCTTACAGACGCACCTCGTTACCTCATACCTCAATGATTGTTACTCCGTTTCTAATAGCAGCTCAATTATTAATGCTCATTATCCATTCTGAAACTGGAGCGCGGCTTTATTCGTTATCTTACTATTAATAAATCATCCAATAAAAGCTTTGTTTCACGTTCTGTTTTCAGACAAAATTATTTTACTTTTGTTTTACGTTTTGTTATCTATTTTCATTTTCAATATTTTAACTGGTAAATTTATTAAATTGGTAGCCGCGATATTTCCGAGATTTTTATCAAAAACTGCTTCGTCATCTTTCTGTGATTTTGTTATTATAAAGGAAAGAAAAAGCACCCCATATACCTACTTCGTCTAAATGTTCGACGCTCACCGCAATTTCAAATAAAAATATTTACAGAAGCCTGTGTCAAACATACGCTTACGAAAAGGTAATTACAAAAAAAAATACAAGAGCCTTCGTCAAAACAAACAAAGGCGCAAAGCGAAAAATATTTGAATTTGAATTCTATCATTCGATATTTAAATCTAGCAACGCGGTGCGGTTGGGGCGGGCGGTGAGAAGTTTCCTCGGGCGAGGGCGGCGGGTGGCGCGGGATGGAGGGGAGGTGCGGGGCGGGCGGGATGCGGGGGCCGGGTAATTAGGCGGCCCGGCGGAGGCTGTATTGATCGCCGCGTAACCTAGCAACGCGCGAGATGGCAGCACAGCCTGCCCTCGCACCGGGAACAAGTTTTTTGTTCGAGCTCGCTCTAGGTGAGACCGTTTTGATGTAATCTCCGCGGAGATGATTCAATTCGATTCAGCACTGTACGTATTCGGTGGGAGATTATGGCGCTATTAGTCTGTTGTGGGGCGTCTTTATGCTGATTCATCATAAAAGAAACTGGTATTAATTTTATAGTAGGTTGTGCTGAACACCTTTGTTCAAAGAAAAGTAGGTACGAAAGCTTAGTCACGACCATTTTAGCATAAAGCCGTGTGTATCTTATTAAGATTGCAGTAATATTATAATAAGAGCGATCATCCAGCTCGAGTGCCCGCGGGCACGTCTCCTAAAGGCTCTCGTTCCGTACAGAACTTACGGAGTTCCATTAAGTCTTGAAACAAGCGAACCACTTGTGAACTTTACCACAACCACAAAACTGTACTTGAGACGTAGCAACTATTAATTTGTGCGGTTGTGTATATCAAAAGGAGTAGTTATCAAAGCTGGAAAGATATTAATATATCACGTTCAGATGTTATTGAAGGTAGAAATTGATAGGCAAGTGAAAATAAACGTATCACTTTAGAAGAATTATATTCCTCAACACTTCAATCTAATATGAATTTCTATATTTAAGCGTAAGTAATGATGTACTTTTTTTACTCTTAAAAATAAAACTATTTGCCTTTAAGTAAATACTTACCGGATGTTATGTTAGAACTATCATAGATTTCTAGATTAAAATTTTATAAAAGTCGATGTTTCACACTTATGTGATGAACTTATGCATTTAACAATAGATTTTCCATAAAACATCACTATCGAAGATAACAAAAAATAGCAAAATATGGTCACGAACAAAGACAAGCCGAAATTCACGACGTGACTGATAATCGATTACATGACCCTAATATCAAATGTGGATTCTGATCAGATCTGTTGTTGCCACGATATTGCCTTTGACATGGGAATATTACCAAAATGTCTTTGCCCACGATCAGCCGAGAGGAATTGTCAGTTTTTACGGACTGAAAACCACCCAGTTCTTTCTCCTTCTTCAGGCCGATGTTGCCCCTGCAATCTCAGGCCTTCATATACATATGATAGTTTATTTCGATTCAAAATCATCATACACGCTACTTACATAAAAATGATCTCATTTAGCAATAATTCATTGAAATTATGATCATTTTTTTACGTAATAGGTCGGCAAACGAGCAGAATGATTACCTGATGGAAAGCAATCAGCGTCGCTCATGGACACCCGCAACGGAGGAGTTACAAGTGCGTTGCCGACCTTTTAGGGATTAGGGATTTGAAGATTTAGGTATTGGGGAAGGGGAAGGATTGGGCCTCCGGTAACCTCACTCACACGGCGAAACACAACGCTGTGGTTGTTTCACGCCGGTTTTCTCCGGTCGAGCCGACTCATTCGTGCCGAAGCATGTCTCTCCCACACTTAAATACATAAACATAATACTAGTAGTTCCATACGAGTACTTAAAATGTTTAATTTAACATTTGTGCCAAAGTGTGCAAATAATGTTAAAAATTATGGTATACTCAAATCATTCCCTGGTATGTATTACCTTTTACATAAAATTTCCCATAAAACCTGTATATAGAACCTTCCTACCATAAGTTACATAGATTCCATCGTATCTCCACAAAAATGTTCGAGCATTCTTTCGACATTCATGCGGAAAGTATCTGTTCCATCCGAACATTGATAGGGAATATCCCAACGGCTGGGTACAAAGGCATTCTGATTATATATAGTACTGCATATTTCTCAAATACCACCGTCCAGCAAAATGTAATAATGTGCAGTACTCAGATACGTCGCGAGAGGGCGCTGCAACGTTTATGGCCCTCCATTTCTTTGTTCACAGATATTCTGTTAAGTCATGTTTAAAATGTAAAAATATGTTGTTCGGTTTTAGTGTTTTTATATCAGTCAGATATTTAGGTTTTTTTTTGAGGACAGCAAACATGCAGACTTATTGCGTGGTGGTTAGCAAGCGAAGGTAAGCAATCAGTGCCGCTAATGGACATCCAATCCATCCATGAACAACGTAGAAGTTACGAGAGCGTTGCCGACCCTTTTTGGAGATTCAGGGATAGGGGAAAGGATACTGAGGCTCCGGTAACCTCACATGACGAAACACAAGACTGTGGTTGTTTCATGGTTTTCTGTGAGGCCGTGGTAACACTTCGGTCGAACCGACCCATTCTTGCCGAAGCATGAATCTCTGTATCGGTAGCCATATGAGTATTGTTTTGTATAATTAACTGTATGTTTACTATGTCTGATAAATACATACTGGGTTGGGTATAAAGTATCAGAGAGAAGCTTGATTAGAAAAGTTTGATTACTCCCGAAACCGCATGACGGCAGCTGTAAAGCGTACAGCTTCGAGTAGGAATAAAATATATAAAATATTCAACGAAGCAAAGAGTTATACAACCGCTTAGATACCTACATACTTATTAGCCCGTATACGAAGTTATACCAACATTTTCTCAGAATTATTCAAATATTCAGTCCGGGACGAAAAATAAATGGACTTTATAATTCTTTATGGCATTAAATTTACATTTGAATGGCCACTGAGCATACTTCAGATAATTGGACCCAAATTACATTTAACGAAACATTAACCCTAGCACCCTTTGTTAAACCTGATTCAACAGTATTTTCATAAGATA